GGGATCATCAGCGAAACTAGGGATTGTCTATAAAGCCCGGGACGTCTCCTAGACCCCTCTTTGACTTCCTAACTTCTTCACCGTACTCTTTCCTCACTCGCCAGAAATCTATCAAGCCGGACTGGCATATTCAAACTTCGCAGCCATGCAAGTCAGTCTTGATCGCATAGAATTCTACGAGCCCGACCCCAAAGCGCCGAACCTGCCGAGACTATCAACTTTAGCCATTCCCAGAAACGAGGTTCTCTCCGCACCCGATGAGCGTGCCGAGCAGCCGAGGCTATGCGGCAAAGACCCGACCTGGGAAGGTGTCATTGTAATATCAGACAACGACGGCAGCGACGGCGAGAGCAGCAGCGATGGAGACGCCCGAAGCAGCACTTCTAGGCCTAGGCCCGAGAAGCAGGCCTCACTTCCTAATGGATGCGTTAGCCCGCGAACGATCTCGAAATTCCCCGTCGGCCCGATCTTCGACCGAGTTAACCATCTCCTTGTCGACGCCAATTTGCAACCTGCCGAAAAGCTAAGAGCCGATGCAGCGTCGTCATACGATCGAGGCTTCCCTCTGATGCAATGCACTTTACAAACCCCGTCGAGTTCCCCTCAGCAAACCCTCTTCCCCGCTCCCGGTGCCCCTGCATTCGAAGACGACACCAACATGCAACGGACCCAAAGCCCCTCGATGCCGCTCTCAGGCACTGCTTACGACACGCTCCACCTCTTGTCGCGCCACGCCGGCAGTCTACCACATTCTTCCGGCAACACATCTCGGGGCAGCTCAGTCGAGCCAGATATCGAAGCTCAGGAACGGTGGCTTCTGCCTTCGCCCTCGGACAGACAGGTTTTGGACCAGATCATCGATGGCACCGCTGACAAGGGAGGTCCGTGTCATGCGACAGCAGTCGACACAAATGAAGGCATGCCAGCTTTAGCCTCGTCTCTGCCTGTCTCCTCCCTTGTGTCCCACTTATCCCCATCGATGTGCGTGGGGTTACAGTTAGTCCAACCCAACTCGCAGGACACGAGACGCGCTCAAGAAGATACCATCTCCCCCTGCACGACTGGCAACACTTTCTACGACTTGGAAGACTCTGTGACGTCCACCGGGCCATCGCCATGTGGCACGTCACCTGTATCCACGCCCACCACCATACCGCGGCTGCAGGCGCGAACGCACGATCCCATTTCGCCGCTCAGACTCAGACGAACCCGAAGTGCACGCCCTACCCATAGCACCCCTCAGCGATACAGCGCACGTCTGCGCGCTATATCCCGCAACGCACTAGGTGCCCGTTTCCAACACAAAGCAAACCATGATTCCGACTCCAATGACGGTTCATCGTCTGAAGACGGAAGCGACAACGACACAAGCTATACAACGAGGTCGATCAACTGCATAGAAGAAAGGAGCAACGACGGCCTAGACGGAGATGTTATGCCGGCACCAAAACGTCGCAAGTCATCATCTCCACAGGTCGTTGCGGCTCAACGTCGAACCTTGCGACAAGCCTCGAGGTTGTCAGCGGCCGGTGCCAACACTTGTGCCACGGGAAATGCCCGAACTCGTGGTATCGCTACCCCATCATCATCCTCTCATCAATCGTCCGACCGAGACTCTGTCACGGACCGGTCTGTCGCCCGGTTTGAGGAGTGGCCATTGCAGGACGTCGCTCTGAAGCGTGTGACAGTGAACGGCGTGGCAACATTCCAGCTCCAGTTCTCATGGGACCGGCGTGCGGATCATCGCCGGGATCACCGCATTACAGAGACACGAGACCCTTGGTGTTCAGCTAGGAAACGACACAAGAAGAAGCATGCCTCAAGTTCGGGCAGACCATTCACGAAGGATGAAGACCATTGTCTGATGAGGCTTAAGGAGGAGGATGAACGGTTGTCTTGGACAAAGATTCATGAACTGTTCACGAAGTCCTACCCCGGCCGCACGAAGGGGTCCCTCCAGGTGCACTACTGTACCAAACTCAAAGGAAAGTCTGATAGCCTGATAATGTTGAATTGATGTGTTTGTACGGTATATTACCTACATATGTATGCCTTCCCCTAGGTGAAAGGTTGTCGTACAATTTGAGCTGGGCTAACATGCTTGCCTCTATCCAGGAAAGGTTGTCGTACAATTGTCGAGTATGCTTGCCGGGCAATGCTTTGTCGACTTCCTTGGAGAGCTTTCCAACGCTGTCGGGCAGTCGCCTCTCTACGCGTAGTTGACGCCTCGCCGTATTGAGGGTATTTCTGCTGAACGACGCATAGGGACCTCCGCAGGGGACGCATTTGAGGATGGCCTCATCGCAAGTGCTGTGGTGGTGACCTTCTCTGGCGCATCCCCCGCAAACTTGGGGCCGGCTGCACTGGTAGGCTCTGTGGCCGGTCCCGACCTGCTGGCAGTTGTAGCACTGGTCAGGGCGGACTCGGTGTTCCCAGACTTCGGTCCGTCCAGACTCTCCCCCGGCGTACATGAATCTGTCCGTCAACAGCTTCTCCGCATCTGACGCCTTGGTGAGGTAAACAGCCATGGAGCCGTATTCTTTTGGAGGACCGTTGATGCTGAGCCAGCTTATTTTCGCAATCTGAACGTTGTTTTCTTGGCCGATCTGTTTGGCGATGTCGATGCGGATTTTGTCTTTCTCGTCCAGGACCACCGTGCGCTTTACATAGTTGACTTTAACGCGGTAGAGGTCGTCTCGTAGCATTCTAGCTTCTCGGGGTAACTTGGATTCCACCACGCGCTTGACCAGCTTGAGTTCCTCCTCGTTTCTGCAGGCGATTCTGATTCGGGACTTCTTGGAGTCTTTGGTCACGGCGAGGCACCGCCAGTTATCCTGACCTTGCTCTGCCCTAACCTTGTCTTCCGTGAGGATACGAACAGCGCCCGGTGTGAGCTGTTCATCTTGTTCGTTCTCGATTCTCGACAAGTCGATCGTGCAGAAGAGCGTGTCTGCTTGGGTCGGTGGTGCTACCGTGGTAGACGGCCTCGCATTGCTGGTCGGTGACATTCGGGCGACGTCTGCATACGAAGCTTCGGCTCTGCGCTGCTCTGCTGCCGTTGCCGTGCTTGCTACGATGCTTTCACGTAAAGCCTGGACCTCGGTCGTAGTCGCATGTTGGGCTTCCTTTAGCTCGTTGATTTGGTTTTGGAGCTCTTCAATTCGTGCTGCCTGCGCCTGAGACTCTCCTAGGACTTGTTCGAGGATGGATGTCTGTCGTTCCAGCTGTTTCTGCATATCGCGTAGCAACGCCCTTCCGTCCAGCTGCCCCCCGTTGGTCCCGGAAATTGGTCGTCGCACCGTCGATTTGGTACCGCGCCCTTTGGTTCTTCGCTTCGTGACTTCCGCATCATCGGTCGCATTGTCGGTTGCTTGATTGTCGATAGCTTCATCTTCGATGGCTTCGTTGTCGGTGGCTCGATTGCCGATGGCTTTGTTGCTCGGCTTGGGCCTCGGTCGAAGTTGTCGCCTCTCACCACCATCCCTCTCTTCCTCATCCGACGCGACATTGATCGTGTCGCGTTCGGTCACCATGGCTGAAGGTGGGGCGCCACGTGGAGTGGGATCCACCAGTTCGCGTCGCGCCGTCCCGCGTCAAGACCAACCCACCCACGATCAATCTGATGCCGTATTTCAACGAAATAGTGAATGCTTTAAATCTTGGAGTCTCTCTGGAGCTCTTCTTTGATCGCCCTTGTTCGGTCCCGGGTGGTTCCGTGATAGTACAGCTAGTACTGTACAGTAGCGGCCGATTTGAGCGTCCGCCTGGGTAAATATTAAAACATCTTTAAGCCCAAGAAGTGGGGTCTCACAGTGTGATGTATGAAAGGTGTGTCACTGGAACAAACGCCGGTCTGGATCAAGGCCATCCGTGTGGGGCCACGACCATCTGGAACACAAAGGACGTGGATGACCAATTGCCATGATGACAGTGATGACAGAATAAGTCAGATAGATACTGTATTAACGGGCGAGCTACCTCGACAATCCTCATCCTCCAGCCACTTAAAATGCTATTTTCGCCTCGTTCAACGTTGCCGCGGCAGTCCCTCATCAACCAAATGCCACTATCGAGCCACCAAAGAATGGGACGATTCGCAGCACCGGAACCCCAGTGCGACGCAATCTTTGCATATGCAGAATCCTCCGCCACAACACGTCTTACAAGAAAGGCCCGTTCCACGAGATATGGTGAGCGTATAGACATCACACCATGCTTGCTGGGTATCAAACAGGGTCCATTCCACAATCATGGGAGGATCATCTCTATCTACAAACATGTCTTTCTCCGCTGCGTGACGAAGTAAAACCAGAAGAACGTCGGCGTGGTCGCCACGACGCGTCCACCATATCAGACTGTGACCAAAAGAATCTTGATCGTTCAGCGTGCTGTTGTCATTCGACAACAGCATGACAGCGATGCCAGCGTGGCCATTTCGTACCGCAGCAGAGAGTGGTATCGAACCGCACCAATCCTCTGCTGTCTTGTCAATGTTAGGATCTGCGAGTAAAACGCGAACCATGTCAATATGCCCGTACCTCGCGGCCAAGAAGAGCGGTGTGCGGCCCAACGAATCGAGACGCTGGACGTCTGCCCCCTTGTCTAAGAGCAGCTGGACAATCTCGACGTTGCCTCTGATTGAGGCGGCCTGCAGAGCGTTACCGTACTTGCCGCCCTACGCATTGACGTCTGCCCCTTGTCTAAGAGCAGCTGGGCAATCTCGACGTTGCCTCTGATTGAGGCGGCATATAGAGCATTGCCGTACTTGCCGCCCTGCGCGTTAACGTCCGCCCCCTTGTTCAAGAGCAGCTGGACAATCTCTGCGTGACCTTCGTATGAGGCGGCATATAGAGCGTTGCCGTACTCGCCGCCCTGCGCGTTGGCGTCTGCCCCCTTGTCTAAGAGCAGCTGGGCAATCTCTGCGTGACCTTCGTATGAGGCGGCCTGCATAGCGTTGCCGTACTCGCCGCCCTGCGCATTGACGTTCGCCCTATTGTCTAAGAGCAGCTGGACAATCTCGACTTTGCCTTCGTATGAGGCGGCCTGCATAGCGTTGCCGTACTCGCCGCCCTGCGCATTGACGTTCGCCCCCTTGTCTAAGAGCAGCTGGACAATCTCGACGTTGCCTCTGATTGAGGCGGCATATAGAGCATTGCCGTACTTGCCGCCCTGCGCGTTGGCGTCTGCCCCCTTGTCTAAGAGCAGCTGGGCAATCTCGACGTTGCCTCTGATTAAGGCGGCCTGCATAGCGTTGCCGTACTCGCCGCCCTGCGCATTGACGTTCGCCCCCTTGTCTAAGAGCAGCTGGACAATCTCGACTTTGCCTTCGTATGAGGCGGCCTGCAGAGCATTGCCGTACTTGCCGCCCTGCGCGTTGGCGTCCGCCCCCTTGTTCAAGAGCAGCTGGACAATCTCTGCGTGACCTTCGTATGAGGCGGCCTGCATAGCGTTGCCGTACTCGCCGCCCTGCGCATTAACGTTCGCCCTATTGTCTAAGAGCAGCTGGGCAATCTCGACGTTGCCTCTGATTGAGGCGGCCTGCAGAGCGTTGCCGTACTTGCCGCCCTGCGCGTTAACGTCCGCCCCCTTGTTCAAGAGCAGCTGGACAATCTCTGCGTGACCTTCGCATGAGGCGGCATATAGAGCGTTGCCGTACTCGCCACCCTTGTATGAGGGCCCATGTAGGCCGCTGCCATGCCAGAGACCCTGCGCATTGACGTCCGCCCCCTTGTCTAAGAGCAGCTGGACAATGTCGACGTGGCCATTTTGAGCTGCCCAAGTTAGCATCGTCCTGCCGTTGCCATCTGCTTCGTCGATTGTCATCGTATGTGTTGGTATCAGCTCCGCCAATACACCAACATGTCCGTTCAGCGCCGCAAGATGCCCTGGTTTGACACGATGTCGACTATCGTGACGATAGTTGGCCGTCCAGAATATTGATACCCAGGACTCAAATATTTTCAATTGAGCATCGTACAGCTTCAATATGCGGTTCAGTAACCTATCGTCTGAGGAGTTAAGGATGCCGAGAGGGTGTCCCTTGTGCTGTTTCTCGTTGATGGTACGAAACATCTGCAGCTTGCTTCTCGCACAACTCTGAACGGCATCTTGGGCAATAAGAAGGGAGATCAAATTGTGATCGGGAGGAGGAAATTGGTCGGACAGAATGTTCCAAAGGAAATGAAGGAAATCGAGGTTTCGCCTGAAGTGTGGGACATGCTTGAGAGGAAGAACGACGGGGTGACTTCATAGGCTGGTTGAGCTCCTAGGATGTCGCTGGGCGAAGTATCTGGAGGGCCATCTGCGCAGATTTACATTCGGAGCTTCTCCGGGTATTAGCCCTCTCCTAACAAAGGTGAGTTGGGTGAGCCTCGCTGCTTTAAGCATACAAACGAAAGTCTTTGTAAGGGTGAGCTGGGGTGAGCAATTTGGGCTTCTTGGTTAACCAGTGATGGCCCTTGACCTAAGCGCTCAGTATGTCCGATTTGACTCCAAGACTGGCTGGGCTTATACTGCAATTAAATTCCTTGTATCTTCATACGAGTCGAGAACCGCTGCACAAATCAGCATTGAGCTCTCTCGGGACCGTTGATTACTATCACTGGCTGAATTGCGATCCCAGCCCCATGAATTATTCACCTCTTACAAGTAATGGAGTACCCGATGTTTATTTAGCTCCATGCGCTGCTCGCCAATCATTCACAACCTAGAAGATGTCATAGAAGGTGTTTTATTGGATTCAAGTTTTATTAGATTAAGGTTTTAGAGTCAAGTTGTCGTATAGACTTTAGTAATAAGAATACTGATTCGTGAATTTATAATCCACTGATCGCTTTCATAGGCCCTTATGATCACTCCTGCAGGTAGTCCGCCCTTAAATTCAGCGGACCGCTGCGACCTAGCTTTGGGTCGCCCGCGTCACGATATGTATTACTTCTATAAGGGTCTAGTTGTCGAGTATCTCGCTAGGACGAGGCCTTGGATGAATTATTCCTAGGAATTGAGTAAAACTATACTATATAGTTATAATTAAACGCCTCTCCCTCCCTCTATTTAGAGTCTTTACCTATTAGTACTATATCGCCTACTGTACCTTTATCCCCCCTTTAGATAGATCTTTGTAATCATGAATCAGCAAGAAAGATTCCCCGCCATCGAAAAGGACTAACTTCGGACCACGTTAAAGTCGCCGATTCTCCTGATAAATTCCCCTTTAGCCACTGAGTAGCTCGATTATGGGTTCATTGACCTTAGGAGGCAGAGATACTCCGCAGGGTGTTCCGTTCTCTCGAAATTATCTCTTGCACAGGCTGAGAACACATTAGATGTGACTAGTCGCATGATGAGAAGTCCAACAAATACCAGCTAGTAATTACACACACACACAAGTTTATTACGCCTGGTGGCCTAGAGCCAATAAGGCACTATTCGCTATTGTACATGGTCGCTTCCTGTAGTCTGTCCGAAACTCCCAAGCCCATAAGGGGTCGTCTTTCCGCTCTTGCTTTCTCGTCTTCTGTCTTTCCGCCGGTTTCTCATGGGGTTTAGATTGTATTGGCAAGCTGCTTGAAGGCTATTCTTCAAGTGTTCAGAGTCCTATCTACGGCGACTGAAGCGGCGCCTGCTGTTATTGACACGAGGTGTGGGTGTTAGGTTCGATTAGTAGGGAAGGGGGGGGGGGGGGTTGGGTTTGCCGTGATAGGTCTCATCAAGGATCACACATTCTCTAGCCGGCCCGTGGCCTTCGCAAAGCGTATTGTAGCTCGGACTGCTTTCATGTTTGGCTTCCAGTCATCACCATCTGATGTTGTCTTTCCTCCCAGGTGGAAAGAAACGTTGTCTCTTTGTGCGCCAGGGCACATGAGTGTCTCGGCGCGTTGTGTTGCCCACCGTGTGCATCGAAGGAGGAAGTGCTCTACCGTCTCTCTCGCGTGTCCGCATGCGCATTGGGCTGACGCTACTGCCTTGATTCGGAAAAGTGACGCGTTGAGCCTCGCCATGCCTGTCCTGAGCTGGGCCAGCATGCTCGCTTCTATCCAGGAAAGGTTGTTGTATAGTTCTCGAGTGTGCTTGCCAGGAAGAGCTATATCTATTTCCTTCGAGAGTTTTCCAACCTTGTCCGGTAGTCGTCTCTCTACACGTAGTTTGCGTCTTGCAGCATTGAGGGTGGTGGACCGCATCTTCGGGAACTGCTTTTCTGGTGAGGCGCCCTCTCGGCTGGCCTTGCGTGCTTCTCCTTTCGCTCTCTTCAGGAGGTCGTCCTCGAGATGACTAGGCAGCCAAACGGCTGCGATGGTGTTTCCGGTCTCTCGAAGTCGAGTGACCGCTTCGTAGATGCAGCGAACGTACTCTTGTCCAGATTGTTGACGGGGGTTTCGAAGTGTCAGCACCGCGGCTTTGTTACTTGTCAGTAACGTTACCCTCTGGCCCCTTAGCTGTGGCAGAAACCGCAGCGCGTACGCCGCCGCCACGAGTTCTCCGGAAAACGGGTTCTGATCGGTCCTCATGCCGTGGGTGAAAGAAAAGGTCTCGGGCACCGTTCCTGGTCCCTCGATGACTCCGCCGACCCCGACCAGCTCGTTTCGTGCCGAGCTGCTGACGGCGATGCGCACCATCGCGTCCTGGTCGACACGCGTCGATGTTGAGTCGTCATTCCATTCGGCAATGGTCTGCATTCTTTCCATCCACGGCGGAAGTGTGAATGGGTTGATGGTTTCCAGGTTCTCCATTGGAATCTCGTTGAGCGCAGTTGCCAGTTGGAAAAATGGTGAGCGGTGGAAACGCCTGAACTTCCGCATGCGAGCAGTCAGTTTTCGAAGCGGGTTGGTCTCGGGCAGTGCGTGGAGATCCGTCCAAAGCTTGATAGCCCTTCTCGTGAATCGCTCTGGTGCACTGACGATGTGAGCCTCCGCTTCTGCTACGCTCGTGGCTATCGCGATGAACGCTCCAATGATTGCCTGCGCTCCGACCTTTTGGACGCGATTGATTGCTGCCGCCGTCCGATCTTTGCATCGGTGCCTCCAGACGTTAGAGGCATAATCCACCACCGGAGCCACGGTGGCCGTGAATAGCTGCCGTGCTGTCGCCGGGGTCAATCCTCTCAGTCGTTTCAGCTCCATAGCAGCCTCCAATCCCTTGGTCGCCACTCTTGCAATGTGTTCCCTATACCTGAGTCCAATGTCCATGATCACGCCGAGGATCTTGACATGCTGTTTGGGTTCGACTGTTTGCCCTTTGATAGTGAAGGGTTCCGAATCGGACCTTTTGGCCCATCGGGTGAAGTGGATGACCGCAGTCTTGTCCGCTTCGAAAGTTGCACCGCTTCTCCGCTCCCAGTCCAATGCCTTCTCGATGATTGCCTCAATTCCTTTACGGTTGTCTTGCGTGGTTGGGCCAGCGACCCAGGCTGTAAAGTCGTCGACGAAGGCTATTGCTCCCCCATAGCAGTTGATCTTCTGTTGTACAAGGTCTGCGTTGAAGAACAGAAACAAGATGGGTGACAGTGGTGATCCTTGCGGTAGTCCGGCCTGCGGCAGGGTCCGGACCTCTGATGCTTGGCCGTTGACCTGAATTGTCGCCGTCCGATCTGAGCAGAATGCCTCTACCCAACGGAGCAACCCTCCTGGGAGGCCCCTCGCTCTCATTCTCTGAATAAGTCTCTCTTTGCACACTCCATTGTACGCTCCCTTCACATCGAAGCTCACGAGGCTGACCACCCAACGATTTCTCCATGCTGCGTAGATTTGTTCTTGCAGCAGCACTAACGCTTGTTCTGCTGACCTCTGTTTGCGGGCCCCGAAGTGGTTCGTAGGCAACAACCCGTGCGTTTCGACTGCATGGGATATCCTCTCCGCAACAACCCACTCGAGAACCTTGCCGAGCGTGGCGAGGAGCGAGATGGGCCTCCAAGCCTTGGCGATGGTGTAGTCTGCTTTGCCGGGCTTTTTGAGCGGGATGATCTTGGCGTGCCTCCATTGGTCGGGGAGTACTCCTTCCTCTAGTGATGCGCGGAAAATCGCCAGGACCCTGTGCTTGACGGCTGGCCAAATCTGTTTCCAGACCATCGCTGGCAACCCGTCCTCACCAGGTGCTTTCCACGATTTCGTCGCGAAAAGACGGCGTTCGACTTCTTCCATCGTGACGTTGGGCATGTTAACAGCTGATTCGCGTTGAGGTCTCTCCCCTTCCTCTTCGATATGCTCCTGTAGGGACGGGAAGAAAGTGGTAAGCAGTTCAACCGCTTGCTCTTTGCTGTTGGTCGTCCGTGTGCCATCAGCCTTCACAAGCTGTGGCACCTTGCCGAACGCCGCATCGTCGCCAGACTTCAGATACTTGGCGGCCTTCCAGATGTTGTCGTTGTTGGCCAGGAAGTCATTCCAATGGGTTTTCTTCTGTTGTCGAATGGCATCATGGTATTGTTTCGCTGCTCCCTTGGCCGTGTTCTCCAGTGCTTCATCGTTCCGTCCTGCCCGTCTTGCTGCCCTCGCCCGGTTTGTCCAATGTGTGTGGATGTGGCGGAGCTGCGTAAGATCCGCCGTCCACCACCGCTTCGCGTATGGCGATGGTTTGGCTTTCGGTGTCAAGGCCTGTACTGCTCCCAGCACCACTGACATGAGTCTGTCCGTCTTCTCTTGGACCGTGCCTTCCATCGGGACTGTCTCGAGTGCCGTAGAGATTCGGGTGTTGATTTCCTTCCATGGCGCGTTTTTGAATAGAGGTCGGCCTTGGGCTTTCGGGGTCGGAACTGATACGTCAAGGATCGTTTCGATGGTGTGGTGGTCCGACCCGTGCTCTGTCCCGTGCGTCGTACACTTGATCATGGA